GGTTTATTTAACATTTATTTTATTAACTCGTATTTCTTTTCCCAAGTTTTTTTTTTTTTAAAATTTTGATATAATTCTTGCTTAAACTGTTTACAGGGTGTTATTTTAGTAGATCACGTATTAGAGTCACAAATAAAGAAATATTTTGAGTTTTAGCATATCTAAATTTTTGAAAGTAACCAGGAAAATAAATGCTGTAATATTGTCAGAAATTCTACAGTTTACCTGATAGATCGGATGCTACAAAAATGCAGAATTAACTAACTCGAGTTCTATTATAATATAAGAGAACCTGATGTCTGAGTGTGATGGTCAAAATATGGAAATAAGGACAGGCCCACATCGATAAGACATTCGTTGTAAAATAAGGTGGTGTTTGAAACGTAGAGAATGTGAAGGAAGTATGAACATAGATGCGAAGTCGTTGTCTGTGACGAAGAGTGAAATTTTCATCGTTATTAACGTATTTTGTTTTCAGAAAATTGTCTTTTCGAAAACATATTTCTCTTGTAAGAACGTTTTAATTTTTTTTTTGTTTTAGAAAGTTAAATATTTTATAGGATTCGTTATTCTGACAATCATCCATATTACCACTGTTTTTTTTGGGTTTATTTGTTGAAATGATGCCAATCGATAATAGAGTTGAAGGTTTTGACTGTTTTCAAGGAGGAAGTATGATGTAGATCCTGAGTTCAGCGAGATGTTCTCCGGAAGACTATGTATGTGAAGAATGTCACGTCAGTGGTACAACACCAACTACAGAGTGATATTCTGAGGGATCCAGAGAAACACAGTAAATGGATGGTTAGGCATAGATACATACCAAAATTTCAGTACCCCCAGAGAATTTTGAGACAGACACATATATCTGTTGGAGATTGGAGTACTGACCACAGTTAATTTTACCGGACCCATCAGTCAACAATAAATATATAGAGGAGTAATATAGTTCTAACAACAAGATTGAGAAACATGACATACACTATGCAGCAGAGAAGTTACCACGTTTGGTCATGATATGCCTAACCAAACAGTAACACGGAGTTCGAGAACCTGTTTTTGTATACAACCAGAGTCATGGCGATGCTTATCCAGAATGGAGTTGATACACAGGATGTTTTCGGAATGAGACGCAGTCAAGTACTAATCTAAGCCTATGTATATGCTATATCCGAAATAAATGAGCAGCATTTTGACGGGGACAGTTGGAACGTAAATGCAAGTTTATGCAGAGAAAAGTCGGGGACAAAGTCAACAGAATGGAAAATAGGATGTTTTCCGTTCAAGCAGAACAGCATGCAAATATCACAGGGATGCAAGTGATATGGCCGAATTTCCGAGGCCATCCAGATGAACATCACAGGTGAGGCCATGCAGCAATAGTTTCGGGAATATTACAGTACGTGGAGACTTTGATTCGCGAGCGTGTTAACGGGCCATTGACTTCGATCGGACGGTGATAATTCAGGACAGTGCACAAGTAAGAATTCAGCAAGTCAATGCAGAATTGAGACATTACGACAGTGAAAACAAATTTTGACAAAGACAGTGAGCGTTAAGTGTTCGCCAAGACAGTGCATCAAAAGGTTGAAAAAAATGCAAACGACACGAGATTCGAGAATGCGGAAACGCAAATCGGTTAAACGCGCGCGGAAAGTAAATCACCGAAGAATCGCGGTCCACATCCAATAGGAGTCAACGAACAATCAAGGAACTTCAGTTTAGTTAAGTACTAGTATAGTTTTAACATTTTGTAACAGGAATCATATCGTGAACCTATTGTTTTGTTTGTTTTGGCCATTATTTTTAATTGTGTTAGATTTTTTTTTTCTCTTTATTGTTTTTTTATTTTAGTGGGTGGTTTTTCTCAATTTTCTTTTGTTTTGATATTAATGGAAACAATAGCTTCACTCTAGGGTAGAGGGTAATTTGTAATGGAATATTTTAGAGCAGACAACAAACCTAGCTTGTTAAAAGTGTATCATGTGTTTCCGCCCTTAAATTGTTTTTTTTTCAGAAGATCGTAAAAACTGCTTAGAATGAAGGACCCGTTTCTCTGAGAAAAACTAAATATTTTTCTGTTGGGTGTAAAATCCCACGTCCATAAATTAATATAATACTTGCTTTGAAACAGCTAGAAACGACTAGCATCAGTCATTAAGGCTGTAAAACCCTAAATTTTAACTTCGAGATTATATAAGCAAAACCCCTAGAAAGCAATAAAACTCCTAAGACGACACTCTTCTCACGATAGACCTCCCAAGGCTAATACAAACAGATTTTGGATAAAAACAAGTATAATTGTTAATTTAAATATTAAAGTAAAGTTCACGTAATGATATTCTGAAAGTTAAGGACCGTCCTCCTTTTTTATCCAAAATATCCAAAAGCATGTGAAATAAATAAACTTATAAGATAAAACAGCCGAATCTAATGAAATCAAATAATAAATGTGATTTGTTTGGTTTTTTAAGGACAGACCTTAAAATATACTTTATTTAGGGTTAGATTTAATCATGTGTAATTGTGTTTACGGTAATTATAATATTTACACGGATATTAGTAATAATTTGGAAATAATATAGAAATGCTCATAGTAACGACATCTGTGACAAGTAGGGCGAACTAGACCGGAAACGACAGGGTAGTTGAGGTTTTCTCAGACCAATCAGACGGTTCCTGAAAAGCGAACCCGAAGAGGATTTGAGAATGGCTCGGCTTTTGGTGGTTCCCTATTCTTTTTACCCGCCCATTTTAAAGATTTCGAGATTTAGGAATATAGTTTTTTGGATCAGTTCGGTACTGACTTTTAAATTAGACGGTCGAATTTACTCCGTGTAGATCTTATATTATCCAGTGGTTTCTTTTTAATAATTTTAGTAAGTTATCTATTTAAAGATTTTCTTAAATATTCAATTCTCAAGTTAGGAAATTTTAAACATTTCATGTATAAAGATTTTTAATTTGTTGTTTTAGATTTTCTTTAATATTTTTATTAACGATTTAAGACTTTCTGTTTGTTCTAAAGGCTTTAGTAAAAGTTAGATGTCATCACACAAATGATTATTTTGCAATTGTTCTTTTTATTAAATTCTAATTTAAATCCAATTGTTCAGTTAATATTTTTTTTGACATATTAATTTTCTGGCAACGAAAATTCTAAGAGAGATTTGAATTGTATGCTAATTTTAGATAATTTAGATTAGACTAATAAGAAGAATATTTTGTATTTTTAACTTTATCACTTCTGAATTTTAATATCATTTATTAGTTATTTTTGATTAAATTTCGTTCCTTTTTTTTTCATTAATTATAAATGTCTTGTTAAATCTTTTTCTTTATTTTCATTTATTTATTTTTTTATATTAAATATAGTTAGGTGTTGTGAAAAATCGGCATTTTATTTTTTTACTCTCACCTTTTCACTAAAATATTAAACTATCTTAAAGAACACTGTGATAACCGGTGGAGTGGTTTAATGTAAAGAATGAATCCAAGACCGAAGTGGAAGATCTACAAGGAGATCAATGAAGTCTTCGACAGGTTCTTGTTGTTGATGAAATGCTGACGGATGTTGACGTAATAAGGTAAGTGGCAATAGAGTTTATAGTAACTGAATTTAGAAAGAACCCTTACCATAAAAGTGCGATGCCTTAATTTCTACTTTTAGCTGGCTATATTTTGTTTTTTTATATATAATCGAAACTATATTTACGCTCTGAAAAGTCGGTGTTCTCATTATCCAAGTTCTGCCTACCGCTCAGTAAATTATTTTAATTATAATTATATAAAGGCCACACTACCATGTTAACAGACAAATCTTGAAAGTTTTGTCACATAAAATATTTAGACATTTTTTTTATTTTTTAATTAAATAAATGAACAATATTAGTATCTGTACTCTTTAAAAATTTGTTACATCTTTAAAAATAATCTAAAATGTCAATATTCCATGGGTATATTGATAAAGGAGGTCTAAGTAATAAGAAAATGCATTTTCTACAAAAACTTGACGAAATAGGTAAAAAATAGTATAATATAATTTGATAGACAATTAAATTATGCATCTGATTCTCAAAAAATATACAGGGTGTTTCATTTAAATTAAAGAAGTTATTGCCGTTTAAAGCTAGAAATTATTTAAAATAAATTTTTAGACATTCTGTATGAGGTAGTATTATTTTTTTAATTGCAACACAATAACTGTTCAATAAATAAACTTCAGTAAATATTTAGTATTAAAAACTTTGATACCCTTGGAGAAATAAAGCCTTAAAATTTTTAGACGTTAGAGAAACGGTAAGGATTAAGTGTGATAAACCTTAATCAAATTTACCTTTATTTTAATCGTAGAAACTAAAAATGTAATAATATACAGGGTGTTCCATTTAAATAAATAATACTTTAAAATAAAACTTTGATATTTTTTATTTAGTTGGGACACTCTGTATCTTGCAAAAATATTTTTAAATTGTAGCTCTAATAGTTCTTCAACGAATCCAAAACTAACAATTTGCAAAAATCTAATGATTTAACTACAATACTCCGTGTCGTATGTGGTGAACAACCCTGTATACAATGATTTTTATCAACAATGTATTGAGCAACGCAAGATTTATCCCGTCTACTATATGTTTCTACTTTAAATCTAGTTAACATTGATCTCCTAGTTTGCCCAACAAATTTCTGAATACATTCTTTATGAAATCTCATAAATACCCGACCTTTCCACTGGAAATTTAAATATTTGAATTTGATTTAAAATTTTGAGAAATTGTTTTTTTACTGAGCTTGTTTTTGAATGTAGTTAATCTAGAAGGAAATTCTGTTAGAACACTTACCTAGTTAAATTAACCAGTAACAATATTGCAAACAATGTCTAAACTGCTTGAAAATTCACTTTGACTATACTAATTTTATTTTGATATTAAACTTAGTAATTACCAAGAGGATTTATCTCCTATCAACAGTATATCTCTGAAAGTTAATAATATGCTTACCTTACGTCGTGTGGCATAGGAAGAGTGGCACCCCTGTCTAGTAGAATTTTAATAATTTCATAATTATCACGATGAGCAGATAATATTAGTGGGGTTATATCTGGGGTGAAAGTGGCAGTATCTGGCGGCAAAGCTTCCCAACTCTGAAAATTATTAAGGAAAATAATGTAAACTACACTGAAGTGTATTTATTCTTTAGACTAAAAATAATCTAAAATTACTATACCCTAGGTGATAATACAATAACTGTAAAACCTGTCATTTCGTTTATTTCTTTTATTACCTTTGAAACGTGTTATAGAAGGATAGGTAGATAATAATTTATTCATTCCAGTAAAAAAAATACAAATAATCTTTATATGAACGTGGAACTCGTCTAAACAAAGAAAACAAAAATATAATACTACTATTGAATGGGTAGAAAAAAATAACATAATTTCCTTAAATCTAGATATATCTTATGCCGGGTCCAGACCAAGGCGACATAAAAGTAAACACGATTTTGAGACAAAAACAAGACAAACTTGCGACAAAAAATGGGGAATTCTGACAAGACAAACTTGAGACAAATTGTCCACACCGCAAGGACAAAAGTACAACAAAGTCAAAAGTTTAGTTGTTGCGAATGAGTTTTATTAACCATGTGTGACTTCACTGGTCTCCTACTGTTGGCAGCACACGCCATCCACACTGTGCCGACAACTTGTCGTAAAATATACGAACAAAACATAGACACTCTGATCTTTACCGACTCGAGACTGGACATTGAAAAGTCTCCGAATTTTGAAACAAAACAAAAACGAGACAAAACTATCGCAGAAATGCATTGGATTTGTCGCAACTTTGTCGTAAAACATGAATGTTTCTGTCATGTCTCTGTTTTGTCTGCTTGGTTTGGACCCGGCATTAGAAATATACATTTTTTTGAATATACATTTTTTTGAATATTCAAATTAAAATCGCTAATGAGCTATCTGAAAAAAAAATCCGGCACTGAATAAAATGCTTTCTTTATTAAATACCCTCTTAAACGGATTTTAGTTTGTTTCCTGGCAAGTTTCTGATAGCTACGGGAAAAGAATTGTAAATTTTTACAGCACTAAATTTTACATTTTGTTGAACAAAGGTATAATTACATTTTTCTGATTTAAAATTTTTGTACAATCTTGTATCATGATAATGATCCCTATTGCATTCTGAAAATAGATCTTTGTTATCACTTACAAATAACACTGATTCCATGACATAAATACTACTAATAGTTAGGATATTTTTTGAGACAAATGAATTTTGAGACAAAATAGATGCAACTACACCCACCGGCACGAAAAACGCCCACTTTAAAATTTCTATGTATTTTAAAGTTTTATACATATATTGTGTTCTAGTAGACCGATTTTGATGATTTTTAAGCAATTTGTAGCTAAATTATTTGACTGTTTAGTATCTCTTTCATACTTGAACTTAAAACTATCTCTACTAGAGTAAATCAGTCAATAAATCATAATAATATATGACTTTTCAATCACATTACAAAAACAATAATAGTTATTTATGGTACTAATATGTTATCTTACATATTATATAACTCACGCTGGACAATGTTTAGCTAATTTTCTCAAGTGACTTATATGCTATAAAACGCGAGTGCCATCCAAAATTTTATCCAACAGCAGAACTGTTTCATGTCCAGTCTCTAAAGAATAATTGATGTAAAAGGATCTACCAGTTCTACTTTCATTGTTGCGTTAACTGGAACTTAGAATCCAGTTTCTTATATAATATAAGAATGGAATATCAAGATAGGTACGCAGGGTCCCATTGTGCGTTTTGTTTTTTTGTAAATGATAAATAGCACTGACATTAAGACGTCATTTAGATATATCGCGATTTTTTAACGATAAAATAGTGAATTATCAACCAGCAAGTCAGATTTTAAAGAAAAATGATTCAGGAAGATCTTCCGCAAGAAATTATTAACCAGGCAGAGGCGGCTACTTCACAAATACTGCCAGAAAAGTATCGTGGCGTATATGATAGGGAATTCATAACACACTAGTTTGTTATAACTTAAAAAACTCACGCGTGTGTTATTATTTATTTTGCATGTATACAGGTGAGTAATATCCGTATAAGTAGTCGCTGTTGGGTAAACACTATTTTATAAGTGTGTTGATGAGGACTCAAAATCAATGCTAAAATTGCTGTAAATCGTTAATGTCTTATTCAAAAGCTAATATCTTTAATAAAAATAAAGCTATTGAGATGAATCAAAAATCAAACTATCGAGAAAAGACGTGCTTAAGTAATAAAATGATTTTTAAATTCCTTGCTTTGATAATATATTCCACAGGGTGTTTCAAACTTTCACCAAAATATCAAGATTTTGTTTTCCCTCGTATAATAAACAGATAGATAGAAACCTTTCATTTTTGATTTAAAAAGGGACACTAAAAAGTCAAATAACTTAGCTACAAATTACTTAAAAAGTCATCAAAATCGCTCCACTAGAACACAATATACGAGTACACTCAGATGCAAAAATAACGCAACGGAGAAATTTTTGGTCAAATTTAATCCTTAAGTACTAACATATTGAAATAATCCCGCCTATACAAACAGACCGTCTGAGAGACGCATTAAAAAAAATACATATTTTGTTTGTGTCTAACAGATTTTTTGTAAGTGGGGTGAATCATTAGAATTAAAACTACAGGAAAAAAATATCGAATGCTTATATTATGCAAACATATTATTATTAGTATATTTTTGAAATAAAAGTACTAGTTTTGGATTTTTGACATAACTTTGTTTCTCATCGAGATAGAAAAAAAAACGAAAGGAAAATAAAAAAATATATTTATTATTATATTTAGCATATAAACGGATATCTACTAAGCACAACAAAGCAAAATAAAATATAAAGAATAAAAAAATGACAATGCCTAAAGATGGGCTTGTTCCCGACACACTTTTTTGCGCATTTCAAACAAATTGCTCACTTCACTTTCTTCGATATTAGTCTACTGATCATTCACATCCATATTTTCATCATCTATAACAAAACATACAAAGCTACATACCATTAGATATTAGTTAAAAACCGTTTTTTACCTTCTAATTCGAATTCAGAATTATGATCCCCCTCTATAGCAAAATTTTTGCCACATTCGGATTCTATGTCACTATTTTGGTATTATCGCTGCCAGTCTCTTCAAACCACTTTAGAAGAGTATCCTTATAATTTTGCTCGCCATACTTCACATGTTTTGAGCTACTAAGTGCTTAGTTCATTCCACAAATTAGAAAAAAAAACTTACGTTAACGCTAACACTCCGTCTGTCAGACGGCATCGACAGTTTGAACTAAAATATTTCGAAAACTACACACTTCCGCAAATTGCCCTGCCGGCCATTAAAGCCGGGTCCACATATGTAGCACTCTATTGTATCAGGATCATGTATCACGTATCAAGAGCTTGTATCGTAAGTATGGACGTTTATTTGGGCTGTGTCGACTGAATATGCATATCGTGCCAAAGTAAGCGTCCATACTTATAAAATTCATACGTACCAGCGTACAAGCGTGCGTATCATTGTATATGGACGGTACAACAAATCACCTTGTATCGTCGTATCATGTTCATCAATTCTTCTCAGCGAACCCTCAATGCCCCTTTGATGATCGGAGAAAAACCGCCTCAAGACGGGTCACGGCGTATCAAGTCAATTGTATCGTTATACTGTATCAAAACACGTCCAAATGACAGATCGTGATACGTGTATCCGATACGCAGTGTTAAGAGTATCCTTATAATTTTGCTCGCCATACTTCACATGTTTTGAGCTACTAAGTGCTTAGTTCATTCCAAAAATTAGAAAAAAAAAATTACGTTAACGCTAACACTCCGTCTGTCAGACGGCATCGACAGTTTAAACTAAAATATTTCGAAAACTACACACTTTCGCAAATTGCCCTGCCGGCCTTTAACTTGTTTTGATACGTATTGAAATTACATAGCTGAATGATAATTAGAAGCGGAGAGGGGGGGAGATGTCATATGTCCAGCTAATACGTTGCGTCTGTGAGACGGGGTGTTAGTACTTAAGGGTTAAAGTGTTATATTTTTGTTATTTTTAGCCCTATTTTTATGATTTTTTTAACAAACTGTATATAATTATATCAACTTTAATTCGTAAACTAAGTTTTCTATAAACTTTAGTGTTTGGCATATTATACAGGGTTAATCGAGGGGTTGTTTTTTTACCTTAACTATAAAACGCCCTGTGCAATAATTGCGCGTGTAAATTTAACTGAACTATAATTTTACAGTCAGAACCATGTCTCCTGAGCCTGTTGTTTTTTGGATCATGTCAATACATGCTTTGGTTAATTTTTTAGAGCGAAATGAACTTGCCACCATCAATTCGCAATTTTTTTAATTATCATTTCTTTTTGAAGTTAATTCTCAATATGATAAGTCGGCTTTCGTGATTATTATGAGCTATATACTACTATGAACTGCTTATCATGTTCGACGTTTGGGAAATGCTTGGTAGGAGGGTTAGAGGTCGCGAAGCGGTACCTGCCTCATTAAATGAACATCGCTTGGGTCTTAAAGAAGAATGGGAAAGCATAATGCAATATGATATATGCAGCCTCAATGATAGTGTGAACGGCCGTATACAGGCAGTTATAGCAGCCAAGGGAAGCATCACAAAGTATTAGGGCATATTTTATTTTTTTTTCTGTTTGTATACTTGAGTATTACAGATGTTTTATTTAACATTGTTAGTTCTGTTATCGTTATTAATGTTTATTAACACCAGGACTGTATCGTTAGTCTTTAATGTTTTTTTTTATTTAGTTTAGAGTATCTAATACAGCGTAATATGACGTTACGACAATAATCACGAAAACCATTTCGTCATATTAAAAAATGACATCAAAAAGTAATGATAATTGCAAATTGATCATGGTCATTTCATTTCGCTCTTAGAAATTAACCACAGCATGTGTTGACATGAATCAAAAAACAAAATGCTCAGGAGTCATGGTTCTGACTGTAAAATTATATTTTAGGAAAATTTACACACGAAATTATTGCACAGGGTGTTTTAAAGTTAGGATAAAAAAGAACCCA